TATTTATATTAAAACTTGTTAATTTATTGTTATTTAAAATTTAATTAGGTTAGAATTAAAATTAATTAAGATAATTTGATTTATATTTAATTAATTAATAAGGTTAATTTATTTTAATTGATTGAATTATAATTTTATTTATATTAAAAATTGTTAATTTATTTTTATTTTAAACTCAATTAGGTTAGAATTAGAATTAATTAGTTTAAGTATTTTATATATAGTTATTGAAGTGTACTAAGATACGCTATAGTGTATCGAACTTGAGGGGTTCGAAACCTCAAAAGATTGAAGAGAAATAAGATTGGTTCGATACTCTACGATAGAGCTGGGAGGACAAGTTTTAATTTCAATAGAGTATATGAGACATTTGTCGATCTCGGCATGCACAAATTAATTTTTGATTGATTTAATTTCAATGTTTGTGTGATCATTTATTCTATTTGTTAATTGAGAAAGGTACAATTTATAAGAGAGACTTTGCCAAAAATTTTTATATTTATAATATATTTTAATCGAATTGTTATTCATTTATTAAATTGTTTCGGATATTATTCTTGAGTTATGCCTTGTGAATTAAGCATATCCGATCATAGTGTTAATGGTCCTAGCTCTAATGTTGATCGTGCAGCCGATAGTGATGGTATATGTGGACGTGGCACTACTAGTGCAAGTGTCTAAGATCGTGGACTTGATAGTGGTGTCGACACCTCTGTATCCACTTTAGTAGTGTCCTTACCGGTTATGCCCCCATTGGTAGTTCCACTTGTTATGGGTGTCCTAATGATTGTTTTCTTAGTTCCACGAAGTTTTACTTGGATCTTATGACGGATGAACCATTTGAGTCGTTAATAAGCGATAAGTAATACATTTTAAATGCAACGGTTAGGTTTATATTTTCATACATTATATTAGAATAATTAATTTACTTATTTATTTGTTTTGTTTGACTATTTGATTTCATCAAGCAAGTGCTCCACAAAAGTCATTGTAATATTTTAATGAGCGATTGAACGTCGCTAGCTTCACATAGAAGTCTCGTCTTTATGAAGATGAAAGACTTCTACTTTAATGAGTTTAGGATATCATATTAATTACTTACTTATATTTCATTTAAAGTATTAATTTAACATGAAAAGTATTAATATTATTTTTCTTCATATAGAAGTACTTTTTATGTGATTTGATCATCAACTTCCTAATTAAGGATGCATGAAAAAGTCGACATAAAGGCCGTACAATGACATACTTAACAAGGTGAAACGTAAAAGTAACGGACCTACGTCTATTAAACAAGAGGTATGGAAAGAAGTATGACATCGAGATTAGGTCACTCCTAAGTATCAAGCTCGATCTCGGTAGGCATTTTGGAACCGCATGTTAGAGATAGATGGTGTTGGTGCTTGGCTGATCCAAGCATAATAGAATATTCATCTCTTTGATTGAACATTCTAAGTGTTTGGTAATCCTATATTATTCATTGTATTATAAATTAATTTTTACATTTATTGCATCTCATATTGTATTATAAATTAATTTTTACATTTATTGCTTCTCATATTATTTTATCTATTTTTTCGGTATAATAAATCTTTACGAGTCTGTTTGTGACCATTCACAAGCGGATAGATAGGTCATTCGTCGACAAATGGTCACGGACAATAATGGTAAGTTTTTATATATTTTTTAAATATATATACATCTACTAATATAATCTAAAAAAAATATACATGTGATTTAATATTGTAATTATTTCAATGACATGGGAGCGTGTGTAGTCAATACAAGAAGCGGATGTCGAGGAGCGATAAGAGTGTGATTCATCGTGTCTAGATATCAATATGTCTAAAATATATTTGGAAGGCTGTCGAAAGAGAGAAAAAGCAAAGAGTGTATGGCATCAAATTTTATGCGTTCCACTTGTTACTCACATTACGGTACTAGCTCTTCCTCTACCACTTCGCGGTATCCTAATGGGAATATCCTAGAGGTTTCGATTAGTACAAAGATAGGATCAAGAGGATGGAGACTACCATCCAACAATAGGCCGATCAAGTTAGCACCATACAAAATTAGTTACAGAGAGTGATGAGGTTGTTACAAAACCTACGGAAGACTCGCGTCCCTCCTGCCGACCCTCCCATAACCTACGAGTTAACCATTCCTCTTAACACCCGACAACCGAAAGATGATGTTGGAAATGATGATAATGAGGACTAAATTTCTTATATTTTTTTTAAAAAAGTTTTTAATAGTTTTTGTACACCTTAACGCATTTATATATTTATTTTATTTAAATTTATACTTGTTTCAATTTTATTAAATAATATATCGTATTTTAATAAGGTGTTGTTTATAGTTTTTTGTAATTACAATTAACAATGTACGACTATAGATTTAAAAAAATATTAAAAATTTCTTCGTTTAGCGATGAATTTAGCGACGAATTATGAAGATATTTAAGGAGGGAGACATATAGGGTCGCTAAATAGGGACGGACTTAGCAACAAAATTACGAAGATTTTAACCACTATAATTTAGTGACATTCATTCCATCGCTTAATAACAACAATTATAAGTGGAAATAGAGATGGTACGACGATGGATATAAGACCTTATAGATGACTTGTTTTAGATCAATTTAGTGACGAAAATTCAACAAATTAGCGACGAAAAATCTATCGCTAATCGAGTGATGAAAAAAAATTTCAATCGCTAAGGAAATATCGTCCACCATATTAGCGACGAAATTCATATTGTCTCTAATCCGTCGTTAATGGTATATAATGATGGATTTTTAACACATAGTGATGGAAAAAATCCATCTCTATGTGCCGAATTTCTAGTAATGTCCTCCCAAACTTTCCAAACTCTAATTTAACAAAAGTTCACTTTAATTATTTTGATTTCATGGATTTCTAGGTATTTGGGCAAGTCTTTAACTTTGAAATGGAGGGAAATGTGAGGAAGTAGAGAGAGTTTTGGGTGAGAAAAGGAGAAGAAGAAGTGAGGAAATGAGGGAATGGGTCTTCTAGAATTTTAAAACAAGCTGTCTTTTTTTTTTTTTTTTTTTATTTTCATTCTCGTTTCTTTTTATATGATTGTGGAACTAATTTTTATTTTATAACAAAAATTCAGATTTCTAATTTATTCTAAAAATATAATTAACCTCTAATTTAACTTATAACTATTTTTCTTAAATATCTAAAACGAAACATATATATATATATATATATATATATATATATATATATATATATATATATATATATATATATATATATATATACATAATTTACTCACTTAATCTTATTTTTAAGACGCGTTATCACATGTAATTTGAGAGTTATTGGTTGTTGAATTTATCAACATGATAAACTTTTAAATTATTATAGCTCTAATATCATATCAAAACTAAAAGATTGTAAAAGTTTCTCTATATTTCTGATATGAATGAGCTAGAAGGTTTTTATAGTTACTGGATACAACAAACTGATACAAAGATAAAAATACAAAATTATACAGATAATGATAAGACTTTCTATGCTAAAAACGTGATAATTGTAACAGTTAAGAATACTAATCCTTTTAACACTTCCCGTCCCTATGCTTTTATTTCTTCATGATAGACCACCGTGCAATCAATAAGAATTTCCATGTTTCTAGTCACTATCTAAAATCCTACTCCAAGCAAAGAAGCAAAAAGATTTAACTGTTTAAATTGCGTTGGTCAAAAGATGTCACAGGCTCACAACATTGCACTTCAAGCCAGGAAAAAAGGATTTATAATTGTTTCATGATACCTAAAGAGGTCCAAGAACAAAAGATGGTTAGAGAAGCAAAAAGATGAACTCACGCCTAGTAAGTACAAAAACATACCACTCACAGCCACTTATTTCAGTTCAAACCTCACAAGCTCATCACAAGAAACTCTCCAAACTAATACCCTGTTTTTTTAATCTATACGGCCACACATCCTTTTCACAATGTGCACACCAAAACTGCCAAATTACCCATTGCTTTTATATAACAAGCTGAACACAAAACCCCAAGATTAACGCATGGAAGTATAGTAATATACCTACCCAAGAAAAAATGGGAAAAAGTTTTGGCCATCATGTGCAACATACTCATAGATGTAGCAATTTAGTTATTTCAAGCCTTGGCCACCTGCTTGTAAACTATTCTGGCGGCTCTTTTTGTCTGCCACATTCCATAAGATAACAGCATTTAAAAAAAAAAACATAACAGCGTTTAACCACGACAATGTTCCCATAATGTAAAGAGAGGGTCCCAATTAGACAAATTGGACACCTACTAAAGACCAAGCTGGAATACTATATGTTTATCAATTTCGACAGAGATTGAGACAGACCTATCGATCTATGACGGCCTAACAAATTAAAGAAAAGAGGAGAAAAGCAACGATATGCATGCCAATAAATTTAGAAACATTCCCATCAAGAGCAGAAGAGAAAAGCAACCATATGCATGCAAACAAATTTAGAAACGCTCCCATCAAGAACAGAGACCACAAGTGGAATCAAATCATAATGACGCATACACATAACTAAATATTTACGCTGTTGTGATGATGAATATCCTATTTTACATTGACTTAAAAATACCACCAACAAAAATAACAGAACTAATTAGTCATAATAAAACCAATTACACTCTTCAACATTCAACATAGATACAAGTTAAAGATTTGCAATGCTTGTTTTCATTAGTTCTATATACCACACACAAACACACAAGCTATACAACCTAAAGTGATTTGTTTTCTAATTTTGGGCTCTCCATCTTGAGTAACCCCGAACCTTTACCTGCAAATGGGGCCACTCAGGAGTGATTTGTTCTTAAAGGCTATTTATGGATTATTATAAATGTGATCTTAATAATTAAATACCTCAATATTAACCACAATTGTGTATATATATCTATATAAAGAAATATAATTTGAGAAAGCAAAAAAAAAAACATGGTCATTGTTATGCCTAACAGAGGGGAGCCCTACGAGGGACCCCTTTTCTCTTGTGCAATTGTCTTCTTGGTTTCAAAGCTGAATTGATCCAGCCTTGAGTATCCCCAGACATATCAGTCAAAGAAATTGATGATTCGATCTCACTTGAATGCCTTTCTGTATTGCAGCTTTCCTTCCAGGAAAGGTCATGAAATTCCTGAATTGAGAAGGAGATGATTTTATGGCTTTGATCTTTAAGCTCCACTGAAACCTGAAGATAATATTAGAAATTACTGTTAGGACCATTTCTTTGCGATTTGGAGAAAGACAAGGCACCTCTAAGAATGGAGGGATCTTCAATACGAATGAAATCTTATTGGATAAAAAAAAAAAAAACAAACATTAAAGCAATAAAATGATGTTAAATTTATAAGGTTAATCTTGGTTACCTTGCATGCAATGGAGCAGAAGCGATTGGGAACATCTTGTAGATATCTTGTACATGCTTCACAAGAAGCACCAAACTTTGCTTTCGTGGATGGTCTTGCATCTTTAGGCTGAGGCCGTGGTTTCAGATGAATAGCCTTTTCACCATTGATCTTATAAGTCTGCCGAATCAAATTAGTTTTCCTTCAGAAACCATAACCAGTCATTTGAAAATATATATATCAAGATCAGAGGGCAACAAAAGAATGACGAAATTGAGAAACAACAGAAATGCTGATTATCGTGGAGGTTCTCTTACTTCCATTGCTTCCACTAATAATTATATCAGAAATCTTATAATTATTAATATTAATATAAAAACCTGAATTTTGGAGCAATCTAGATGTTTTTGAATCTCTTGAAGGCGAACAACATCATGATACACATATTTGCAGATCTGAAGCTGTCTGTGAAGACAATGAGACTTCATACAATGTCGACAACACCCAACACAGCAATCGATACAAAATACGTTTTTCTCGTTCTTTCTATGCTCTTCATGGAGACTACAAGAATCAAAGAACTCGCTGTGCAGAAGAGTACTAAGCCAATTTGTGTTCTTTACATAAAGTTTGCAACCTACCTACAACGATACATAACATCAAAAATTATTTTTCCGATAAATCAATTCAACAACTGAGTAGCTGCAGTAATTCAATTACAAATTCATAAAATAAAAATAAAACGTGTAAATTTAATCAATAATTCGAGTCGAATTGTAGATGGCTGAAATTAATTCCAATCAACAAACGCAGACATATCTGATTCTAAAATTTTTCTGCACTAATTAACAATCGAAGAAACTAAAAAGATTTCTGAAATTTCATAAAAACATCAGCGAAACAGTCAATCGAACTGAGTAAAAGCAATAGCAAAAATCCAAATCAATCAAAAACGAAGAATTTATACCATTTGTCCTGGTTTGAGATTGAAATGTTGTCGAAATTATTGAAAGTTAAATTCAGTGCAAACCAAAAATTTGCAAACAGTAGTTGTGAACAAACGAGCAAAAGAAGTGAAACAGAGAGAAGGGAAAGCATCTATAGAATACGAAAGGATTGTGTTTATACTAGGCATGTACAAGAAAAATTAAGGAAAAAATAAATAAAAAATAAAAAAGGAAAGAGAAATCGTTGTGAATATTGTTTACTGCTACTCAGCACAGAAGTGGCCTACCAGCGGCGGGAATGTAGTGTGTATCTCTACTATTATGGAAATACTAAAAAAATTATGTAAATTAACATAAAGTTTCCTAAAGACGGGACTATAAAAGTACAAAAGTTGACCCTGCGTTGTTTTTTTTTTTTTTTTTGACCATGCGTTGTGGAGTCATGAAATGGTACTGTCCCATTTATTTTATGCTAATCTTGAGAGTTTTTTTCGGACTTGAAGATAGTTTTATACTCATTTTATTGTAGTCTAATTCTCTGTGAAATTTACATCTACCCTTCATAAATTACTGCATTCAACGACGATACGAAACGGGATAATTAATTGTTAACGACAAACCCAAGAATTTTGAGTTTTTTTTTAAATGAAAAATATGTATTTTTACAATTTGTGAAAAATATCATCAATCTTGTTTCTTTAGTTTTTTTTTTTTTTTTTTTTTAATGTTTAAATTTTTCTTTAGTCATGAAAAGGCTGTCAGGAGGTGCAAAAGAAATCTTTGGGATTTGACAAAAAGAGATTTGGTTTTCTTGAGCCTCACCTTTATCCAATAAGTCAGCATTTTCCAAATCGCAAGTCATAATTTATCCTCAATCATGGAAAGGTAAATGCCTATATTGTCCTTGGAATTGTGGCAGAAAAGAGAGAACAAACTACAGGGGACGGTCTTGACTTTATGGCCCCTAACGAGGGTCTTTATGTGTAAAGGCAATTAAATGGAAAAAAGGTACAAAGAAAGGAATTCCCTATATTTGCTCCGAAATTTGTTAAGTCTGGACAGATCTGTGATTGATAATAACATAGGAAAAGGCAAATCAAAAAATAATGTTTAGCGATTTATTTGGTTTTTCTTTTTCTTTTTTTGATAGAAAAAGGCAGTTGACAGCTATTATTTATCATTATCATTATCATTTTTTTCTTACTCTTTTTTATCACCATATATTTCGTACAGAAAATCACGTTGTTTTCCACAAAAAAATCTCCTTTGTATGTTTCCTTTTTTCTCCTTGCAAAATTAATCTGCATATATAGGCGATTAGATGTATAGTTATCAAAACCGAATGGGACTCAAATTCTAATCAACCAGAGGTTGAGTCAATTCGGTTATGATTGAATTGGATTGATTCTGTATAAGCTCAAGCTCAAAGAATCACTTGGACGGTCAAGACAACAAATTACGCAAACTAATGACTTGACCAGTTTTTTTTCTCTAGAAAGAGGGGCTTAAAAATCCAAAAAAAAAAAAAAAAAAAAAACAGTGACCACAGACAGCATTGACGGGGGTACAACCATCCCCAACAATGCCTTGATGCATAAGATTAAAAATTCCTAAGCAGGAGAATCAAGAAAATGCACTTCAATGGGAGAGTTGAAATCCTATTTAGTTGATCAATCCCGATTGAGAAGTTAGAGGAGTTTTCTAAACAAAGAATCCTTAATTAAACAAAATGAAGTTTCCCGAGCTACATTGACAATGATTTCCAAATCCAGCTTGAGTTCCACTCATTTAGAAGTGTTTACTATTATGCAAAAACCAAATAATCGATTCGAATTACATCAAAATATCAATTTTGATATGATTTTTTAAAAATGTTAAAACCGAACAAAAATAATTTCGTTCTTCAAGTTTGGATTCAGCTTTTTTTTTAAAAAAAATCAGTTAAACCAAAATTTTTAATACATATATATATAGCTTCGTGCATGCTCTCTTATTCTCTGCTACAACTATGGATGTATACAAAATAACAAAGGTATTAGTGGATTTTCTATCGTCTCAAATTCAAAATTTTTTAAGTGAATAATTTATTATTTATTTATCTACTAATACCTTTTTTGGTTTTTTAGGAGCAACTTAGTTTCTTAGTCAGTAGTTTACAAAATATAAAAAAAACACATAAATCTCAAAAACTTTAATAAAATCCATCATTTATAAAATAAAATAAGATTGATAAAAAATTAAATTACCAAACATCGAAATCAAAAGATTTTAAAATTAAATCAAAAAATCAAATAACATTTTGATTTGATTTTTATTTTTATTTTTAAAAATTTAATTAATTAAAAATTATTTAAAATATTTTAAAATCGAACTGAAAAACGGAATGGATAACCTAAGACATGTTTGCAGCAACAACCCCAGGTAAAAAGCAGGCCCAAACCAACAGCGCAAAGCTCAGTTTTAATGATATGACTAGCTGAACCAGTGGCCCTCCTGCTTTCTTTTTTATTATTTTTAGAAAATTCAAATAAAATAAAATGATTAATTTTTATTTTTATTTTTTAACTTTAATTTGCCCCAGGAGCTCATGGGTACATATATAAATTATATACCACTATTTTTGGGGAAAAAATCACCTTCTAGTTAAATAAAAAACTACGATAAACTATCAATTGCATCAATGAATCAAAATTTCAACCACTATCTTTTTTATTCGTTTTTGATAATTATAGTTTGACGTTAGTATTATTAGATGAAGAGGAAAAGTTTTGATGCACCAGGGGAGGTATATTAAAAGAATGGTCACTATTTTTGCAATTTAGATTTTAGCGCAATTGGAATATTGGATTTTGTTTTTAACCAAGTGACCTCACCATGAACTTTTTTCATTCCAAGGAAGATACGTGTGGCTTTCTTTCCCTCTCCGGAGGGAACGGCGAAAGCAGTTGGAAACAATCACTGTATAAGGTCTTTAACTTGCAAAAAAATTATTATATAAAGATATAGACATATATGTAAAGAAGATCACGCCAGATTTATTGAAAACACATACTAACATTCGAATAATCTTTGATGGAGTGAGATGCATGTCATACATTTACAACATTTAAAGACCATTCACACACAATGGAAGACAAGTCCCAAAACCTTTATTTTTTGAACAAATAAAAAAAAACATGAATACTTGTATACATACACACACGTACAAAAAAATTCATAAGCGACATATAACTTAAATTATAATCCATTTATTTATCGCAATAGTGCATGTTGTAAATTAACCAATTCTTTACAATCTATTTGAGTGGCCAAAGGGGTTGGTTCGGATAGTGGACTTTCAATTTAGAGTAATTTACCCAATTGGGTCTAGACAAAATTTTGCAAATATAAGGTGAAATTGATAAAATCTTTTTTCATGAGGGTTCCTTTGCCAGATTAATACAAACACAGGGGCAATTTTGAGATAAACTTCCAAATTATAAAAAAGAGGAAAAAAAATTTATCTACAAGCGATGGTCCGAACGATAGAATGCTCCAATGGGGACAAGTAATAAGCAATGACTCGCAGCTTTTCGTGATTTTTAATGGTTTAATGGCAAAAGACGACTATATTATATCGTGATTTGGTAATTTTGATTTCATAATATTAAATTATATTAAAAATAATTATAAATTTTTTATATAATTTATAAAATATAATATTTTATAAAAAAATTCAAGATACAGGAGTTAAAAATATTTTTTAAATATAATTAATAGTAAAATATTAAAATAATATTGTTTTGATATTTCAAGTAATGATTAAATGAGTTGATCATTATACATAACAAAAATTGAACAATTTAAATTATATTTATCAGATCTTCAATACTTTAAGATTCAAATTATATAATTTAATATTATAAATCTAAAATTATCAAATTGTAATAAAATTGATACAGAATTTGCCATTTAATCGCTTTCTAATGGACAAATGTGCTCTGCCTGATGGGCAGGCCATAGTAGTGAAATATAGATGCAACAAACGAAACAATTTCTTTGGAACCAAAAAGAGAGGTCAGTAATCCTGTAAGCAAAGATAGCAATGAAAATGGAAAACAGACGAAATCAAGATAAGGAAACGATTCTTCTCTTTTCTTTTCTTTTAATTGAACATTCGACTGTAAAATTTACATAGTAAATTTAGTGCAACATTGCTCCATTGCAATATCTTGTATAAATAACTAAATGATATTTATTTGTGACAAAATTGAAGGGAAGACCCATGTGAAAGTTGAAACTGAATCGAAACACCAGAGCGGCTGTTGCTGCTTAATCTGTCCCGAACATGTAATTCACTGTTACATTTTCAGCTATTGGGGCCGCCTGCATCTGTAATCCATTGAAGCGTTCTCCATCCATGTGATGCAAAAATTCATTAGATCTGACATTGTGTGAAGAATCTGTTTCCAAATTAATCATTGTGAATAAGTTTTTTTCTCCTTCGGCACCTATCGACGTACCAAGTGGCATGCTTTTGGAGGCCCATGCCAACCATCACCTTTAGGCTTGTGAGCATAACATAGGTCAAGGCAGACAAGAGGAGGATCCAGAAGAGCCTCCACAGAAGGGGACTCTGGGGAAGGAGAGCAGCATATACTGGAGTCAGCACGCGGATAACCTGAAACACAGAGGATAAATCTCTTGCACTGAAAATCCTCAACCTCAGATAAACAGATGGATTAAGCAGAATCAAGAAAACCATTTTGGATTCTCATCTTGTTGACAAGACATAGAATTCCACAAAGCAATAACCTTCTCATTTAATCCCCCAATGGAGGATCTGGAGAAACGCCATTGACTGTTCCCATCTTTGATGCAGCATATCTTGTTATGTTAAATATGGCTTTTTCTCTTCAAACACAGAGATCATATATAGCCCTACTAAATATCATTAAGCCTTCATTATCGAAGGCATTCAAGAATGTCGGCACCTTGCATCTAGGGGAGCAACCTTATCTATCACAGCATCATATAGGGACTGCCCATGACAGCAGCTACAAGTACAAAAGTATTTACAAGTGCTTACCACGCATGCTGGTGCCAAAGGAATGAATGTAAGATTTTTCCTTTTATTTTCTGTATTCTCTGTTTGAATGTTCAACGTCTGTAGCAAACAAAAGAAGAAACTAATGAACATAAACATTACCAAGTTCAAGTCTACAATACAAACAGAAAATTTGAGAATAATGAGAAAACAGAATTTAGCACCCTAAAGTTCAAGTGCGAGATCTTTAACTGCTTCTAATACTACATGACATTATATAATGAACTAAGAATTTAGTTCTTATGTAATTTATTTTCCACTACAGCATATCCTATAGGGCCATTGTTTTGAATTAAGGAGTGCAAGGACGAATTTAATTCTGCTAGAATCTCAGGGACTTTAAAACAAATCATTCTTTAAACATTGTCCCCTCTGAGTTATCTAGGTTTGTTACATTACCAATTCAGTTAACTTCTATTAGTTAATTATTAAAAGAAAAAATCTTTAACGTCAATAGTTTGGCTTTCTCCGTAAGAAGCACGTACATCTTTATCAACCACTTTAATCCTAATTTCTCCTAGCTTTTGATAGGAAATTCTCACTCTCCCCCTCAATTTCTCCCCTCTCTTCTCTCATTTAAAACTACATGGACATTTCATTTTGCCATGATCTTCAGGTGCTATTTTGTACTCATCCCTTATTATTCCTTCAGTTTTAGGGGTTATGATGATCAGCATTAGCCGGAAAATTTGCATCCGGATCCATATCTCTTTACAAAACCCAACAACATTATCCATAGAGATCTCCAACTTCATTCCACTCCATGGCTATCCATTTAGACTCTGCTCAAAACAAACATCCCAAATTTAAGTTTTAAATACTAAAATCTTCCAGAGTACAACTATGAATATCACAGGAACTTTAGTCGAATCCAATGTGGCAAAGAAAGTAAGAGAGGGGGTGGATACAAACGGGTAAAGCATGGTGATAATGATGCTTCGGAAATTTTTGCCTTTCCCCCACCCTTTATATAGCTTACAGGATTGTTTGTAAGCTCACAGAGCATACTCCTCACATACTATTCAATAATCTCAACTATAATGTAGATGACCTAGCCATGAGGCATTGGATATGTAATGACCAAAACCAGTGAAAAAATATTTGGCATTTCCTTCACTTGATGTAGTTTGAAAATATAAGCAATAATATGAGAAATTGTGTATGCATTTATTGGTGGGGTGTATGTGAAGGAACAAAAGAGTGGATTGGGGAATGAAAGCTCGAGACAGAGAATCAGGCTTTTCCAAAGAATTACTGCAGCTTTGCTGCTCCCTTTGATTATCATATACAAAAAGGTCTCTTCCTGAATGAAGTTAATAGAAGGATTGATTTAACAGACCAACATAGTTTAGCAACAGGTTGCTTCGATTAATAGTTCAGGTGGAATACTTGACACAGAAGAGTGAAGTTCAAGTGCATAAAGTGCTTTCTAGATAAGCACAACTCTTATATTCAGAAATTACTTATTAGACGGACAGAAGAATAAGGCAACAATATAAAGCAAATACCTGGTTGCAAAGCTCTTCAAGAAATTCAGAGTATGCAATAGGCTTTATGTCATTGAATTTGGCAAGGAATGAATGCTTTATAATATCAACTAACATTTCACAGATGCAAACCATGAGCGCATTCTGCAGAGTTCAAAGAAGATATAATAAGCACAGCAAATAAGCCCAGAAGAAATCCATTATAAATTTTTTCCTTTTCAAACAAAGAGTGCACAGAATCTTTTCTGGTTTACTTACAAAAAGAAAACTCTCAAACCAAGGACCCTCAGCCTCCAGTATATTTTGAGCTAAAACAAATGATAAGAATGCTGAAATGTGGAATCTCTCTATGGAATCTGGTAGTTACCAATTGCACAACAAACTTTACATGAGACAACACGAACTTCAAAATTGAACAGAAAGGCAAAATCTAAAATCAAATGCAAAAGGAGGATCATGGATTTAAATGCTGATCCAACAAACTCCTCAAAACAAACATAATTGAAGATGCATGTCTTCAAACAACTTGTACATGGATATATCAGCTTTTACCTTGCTGGGAATACAGGCATAATCAAAGATGAGTAAACTAGAAAATGGCACAAAATTGTGTGGTAGTATACTGATTATAGACAAAGTTAATAGCACATTGCTTTAAAATTTTTGATGTCTATATAATAGCCTCTTTCATTCCCAAACCTAAGAGGTCTAGAAAACTTCCTTTCGTACATTGTCTGCTGACAATAACTACCAAGTTCCATATCAAGCCAATAAATTGCAATCATCGCACTTAATAAATCAGCTAAAATTGACAACAAGCAGAATTTGAACTAGTCCACGATGACACAGTTTCATTCACCATTAAAAAGGACCACAAATAGAGAAGTACAAATAAGCAAACTCACCAGAGTACACCAAACTGTGAATGTTATCTTTACTGAAACGTTTGAAGACATTGCTTTTTATCTCAGCAAAGTTATTAGATACCAGCAAAGCCAGCAAAGCATTATTGTGAGCAACAATACAAGTTGATAAAGTAATTGCCTGAGCTAATAAAATGAAAGAATGAAGAAGTAGGAATAGTCAAGGAGCCAAAGAGAAAGCTAGCATATTAGTGCAATTTTCTTTTTCTGGAAAATATAATTGTGCCACTGGTAAACCAGAAAAATGAATAAACAAACGAAATCCAAAACAAGGATATTTGAAAAAGCCGTAGCTAAAGCTTGATCAGAGATAAATCGCAAAATCCAGAATCTCATATTTTCTGATGAACAACTTGCAAGGCCTTCTGAAGAATTGAATAGAGCCTGCAGTACATCTCCACCAAAGCTCTGACACAGTTTATCAAATATCTGTATTGAGAATAAACAATAAGTTCTATAATTCCAGCCAAATTATTAAAATCAATTCAGCACACATTACAATCTCACAGAATCGTGTTAGAGCAACACTTGTCATGCAATCAATCCAGCCAAATTACATGATTTTATACAAATCTTTTTAAAAGAGCAGGCTGCATCCCATAAACAACATGACAACAACAGCACTAGCAAATCCTAAGAGAAGAAAAATATGTTTCATTGTCAAGCTGCATTTCCAAATCAAGAAAGGATATACTTTTTCAGTTATACATTAATCTACTTCGAGGACACCATCATTAAACTCCACAAGTGATTCAAAAATTTAGACAGTTACCAATTCTCAGGTTAGTTATGTTAATTCTCACCTCCAAAACATTGTAAACCACATACAGTTTGATTGTTCCTTGGCCACGAATCATGTGATATATTAAGCTGATATCTGAGGGAGCACAAATTAATAAATAAATGAAAGAATTAGTACTTTGAATGCCAAACTCCTGTAGCAAAAGCATGATAAATTCGAACTCCAATTTGGTAGTCACAAAATTTAGCCACAGACTAGTTGGTATTGCAATCATGCATTCACAGTATATCCTTCAAGTACCTGTTCGTTCCAAAAGTAAAACACCAGAAGCCAACACAACAAAGCAGCCAATATCAGAAAGCTCTGCAGCAGAAGGCTTCTTGAACTGCCTGCCACAAGCATGGTTAGGTTATTTTGTAATTGTCACAAGTTACCTCCTGTCTACAGCATGCACAAAATAGAGAAACAAATATGCCCAAAGCACGTGTTTGTTGGGCTGAGAAAAATATTTTCCAATATCAAGAGAACAGAAGTAGTTATCAAACAGCTAAACTGCCATCAATAGTCAACTTTTGGACCTAACTCTGACTCTTAACTGGGATACTTGATAATAACCTTTTAACTTGGTAGAAAGCCAATACCAATTTTTGTACTGATAACGAACACTAGCAGTTTATGCAAAGAAGCATGTGCTTGAATAGTATTTTTATGATTAAATCTTTGCTGTTTGCCGGTTGTGTTACCTTTATGATAAAATGCACATCAAAGATAAGACCCTTTTTTTCCTTTGAGGATACTTTTTTAGTTTGTGCATGAGCTTGCATTGTTTTATATATTTCATTTATAAAAATATTGACTTGACTAAGTATATTGCTGACCCAGGTAAATGCTACATGCACCTGAAATTGGCAAGAAATAGAAAAGGAAGAATATCATCCTTCGAATCAAGGATTGATGAATCGTGCAAGATTAGTCAACGTGTAATCAGCTAAATCACGCATATGTCTTTCGGTGTGCGTTAGCATACAGTTATATATACAAGTAAATTTATGAAACCATGACTAACCTTGCATTCAGAAACCTCCAGAGGATCATCACAATCTTCGTTGGCATGATAGTTAACAATGATAGAAATGAATCCAGGCATACAAAGAAGCCAACATCTATAAGCTGCAACCACATTGTTACATTAATCAAGCATGATGCGAAGGCAAGGAAAAACTAATTCACAACAAAATGAACCGAAGCCAATCAATTGCTTGCGTAAAGCCAATCAGGATTACCAGTTCACATCTCCATGGCAAGCGAAAGATGGTATCATATACTCTCTCCCTTTCTTTCTCGCTCCCAAGAGTTGCTGTTCTCCTCAACGAATTTCCTTTATTCATTTCGTCCATAAAGTACTTCACCGGTGACTTGTCGACCGAAAAGTGATCTGACAGGCAAAAGTAGCACCAAAACCAAAAAATTAATAATAGCAGTATATTACAAAGAAATTTCAAAAGTGAAAAAAAAAAAAAAAAAAAGATTGCTTGCACTTACAATTAGGATCGTCGGCCATGAGTTTATTCCAATCCAATGATTCCGCTGTCTCCAGCTTCGTAACAACACTACCATTCGGCGGTTCACTTCTCCGTCGCTTCTCCGTCGAGCTTACCTCCACTCCACTCTCCTCCGTGACATTTTCCTCCACCACAGTCTCCGCTCCAACAAAATTGACATTCCTCTGCCTCAACTCCCCGTTCCAATACAAACTCTGAATCTCCGCCACTCCTTCACTCACTGTGCTACAAACCACGCTCCCTCCTCCTCCTCCTCCTCCTCCTCCGGTATAACTGAACCTGTTCTCCGATATCAAGTTTTCGATGTGTCCGTTCTCTGTATGATGCGAATTGCCGAAAACTGAATTGGAATCGGTGATTGAATCTCCGTGGATTTTAGAATCGAGTGGCTTGTGTTTGCGCTTGTGTTTCTTCCTTTTTCGATTGGGTTTCTCCGTTGGATCTGATCGATGGTTGAAAAGACATTGGTCTTCTTCTTCATGGAAACTGCTATCGTTTAGAATCTCGAAGGACAGCTTTCTGCCTGAGGATCCCAAAGCCATCAAGACTCGAGTGACCTGACTCGGAGAGAAATCTTTCTTAATTTTGGGTTTTTGTATAAGGAATTCAAAATTTGTGCATTTATTATTATATATGTGCAAATATTAATTATTTCTTTTTCTTTTTTTGCAAGGGGATTGCTGTTTGTTTATTTATAATTTAATTGGATAGGGTTTGATTTATTTTTTCCGTTTTACATCACTGCTATGTTTATTAACTTATACAGTATTTGCGTGAAGGAGGATTGGTTTGTCGAGTCCCAAAAATTGGCTTCTACCATCAAGAAGGATATTAGTTTCCATTTTATATAAGATGCATTTGTCCTTGTAAATGTGATATACATGTATAGGTTAACTTTTCTCTAATTCACTTCATGAAAGAAAACAAAACTAGTTATAGTATTTCTTTTATGATGGTCCCTTACATTTTTTTATTTATGCGAAAGCTTTTGTCTTTAGATGGTTAATTAAAGAACAAAAAAATTCTCTATAAAAAAATAAAACTGACTTATATGCTATTATAAAACATTTCAAAAACATATATTGAAAACATTATATAAAAATTAAAAATATAAAATCTAGATTTAAAAATTAAAAAATTATTATAGAAGTGCATGGAACAAGACACTACGAAAAAATTATGGGAGTTATGAAGAAAATTTCGAATTCGAACTCATATTGGTCGTGGGTTGAAAAAGAGAATTGAAGTACAGCTAAAACAAATTTCATCAACAGTCTACCAATAACTCTGCTATTTTGATTTTCTGTTTGATATTTATTTTTTGACATAAAAAAAAACCAACCATAATCAAAGAAAAATACAAAGAAAAAGTTAGACAACCACAAGCACCAAATAAATTAAATAAATATAAAGACACGATTTAGTAGGAAAAAAATACTAGATCTGAAATTATTGAAAAAAAAACATTGAAAAAGAAAAAAATGCTACTGCTAATGGCAACAACTATGGAAAAAATTTAAAAGACTTAAAATTATAAGAACAAAAACTTTTAGAGACAAAGAAGAAGGCATTTTACATTACTACTATTGCTGCTATTATTATTTTATAATGATGCAGGTTAATTAATTCAAAAATAATAATATAAAAAAATATTTTTATAGAAACAATACGATAATTTCATTAATTTTTGAAAAAGAAATCCGTTATTTATTGATCCAGAAATCGTTCAATGTATTTGAAATTGTATTTCAATCTTTAACATAAAGATAAAACCCAAAAATAACTTTCATGCAATCTACTTTTTATCAATTATCTACCAACATATATATATATATATATATATATATATATATATATATATATATATGTATATGTATGTATGTATGTATGTATGTATGAAATTTTGCATTCTAAAAAAATTGATTGTGAATCATCTTCTTTAATTTAAGTGACTAAATAAATAAAGTGTCATTGCAGTTTGTTGAGCTGTAAGCGGCGGTTAGCCATGTTGCAAGGCACGTGCTCGCAGAGTAATGGAAGAGTGACGACTCCTTAGCGAATAGTATAGTGACACGTTTCAATTTTCTTTTTTAATCTGGAAGTTTCCATTAATCGCACTAGTCACCACTCTTGTAAACGTAATTACACAGATAACCCTGATTGAAACATAAATTACAAAACAATCAAGACATATCTTACATCTATGCTCCGAGAAGAATAATCGTGAAGGACAAAAAGAAAAAGAAAAATGAAGAAATTTATATTCCAATATTTTGTATGAATGCGTAACGAATGAAAATTAAAATATAATTTTCAAATATTAGATAACATGAGCTTATATCACGATGAACCCACTTGGTAAATGTTGCTTTGAAGATCTTCTGTTTATCAATCCCTTGTCCGATGTCTCAAGCAAAGTCTAGCTTCCAGGACGACAGATTTTGTGCAAGTTTCCCGGGCTCCAACTTCATTCTCTCTGCTACTCCCTCCGACCTAAGTGGGACAATCGTGCTTCTTGATAACAATGTGAGGAGATTAGCGAATTACATATCAGGAGAGACAAGATAGCTGAATCCACTTCAATCTCCACTTGTCTGCATCCGAAATTCCACGTTAGCTAGTTGAAAGGCTGCCCAAACTTCAGCAGTCAGAGAAGAGCAAATCCCCAGGTTAGCAGCAAAACCATGTAAGAAACGACCATTGCTATCCCGTATTAAACCTCCGGCAGCAGCTTTCCCCGGTGAACCACGACTAGAACCATCAGAATAATTTGACAATCTAGTTTTCTCGTTTTCCTTTCAGTTTTTTTTTTTTTAGCCAAACAAAAGAAATTATACCACCTTTTTACTTTCTGCAATTTTAATTCATCTTTATGATTTTTTTTCAAAAAAAAAGGCATTATTGTCCATACTCATCTTTACAAAAGGCTAGATGAACAAAAAAAAACAGGAAAAGGAAACGAATTACAAATGAGAAGGCCTGTTACCCTTTACATCAGCCTAGGCTGCTTGATAGTCATACGGAAAACTACTTCCTAGTTATATACAACTAAAGCACAGATCAAAAAGACAAACATAAACAGCATTAACAGAATCAGAAGCTTATATCAATCATTAATTTATTCATCTCCTAGGAAGAAGATGGTAGGTTTCTTTGGTTCAGTGATTTCCACGGTTCCTTCCAGCATCTTAGCAACCTTTCCCATTGACGGCCTCGCGTCTGGCCTATCCTGAAGGCACCACATTGCTGTCTTCACCATTCTATCTACCATGTCAAAATGCACTCTATCATCATAACAGTGCTTAATCTGACGGTCCAAAATGTCCTCTACCTTCACTTCTTTGAACACCTTGTCAAATGCCCACCTAGGAAAATACCAATCCTCACTATCCATCAAAGAACCTTGCATCTCAAAATTTCTAGACCCAGTAACGATTTCTAGTAACACCATTCCGAAACTGTAGACGTCAGCCTTGGGAGTGATTGGATCGCTCTTGACCCATTCTGGTGCCATGTATCCACGGGTACCCCGGATTCGAGACATGCTCACCATATCTTCTTTTTCCTCAACTTGGCCAACCCAAAATCTGAGATCTTTGGGCAAAAATCATCACCTAAGAGTATATTTTCCGGCTTGATATCACAATGCAACACCCACTCCAAACACTCTTCATGTAAGTATGCAATTGCTCTTGCTACACCAAGTGCAATCCTATATCGGATCCCCCAATCAAGCATCGGTTTGCGCCCGTCAATAGCCAGCGGACCCATCTCAGCTTCGGTCCCTGAAGATGCTACCCGACCCGCTGGGAACAGGTATCTGTCAAGAGATCCATTAGGCACATACTCATAAACTAGAATCCTTTGGCCTTTCTCCGCACAAAAGCCCCATAGCCTGACCAAATTGAGATGGTGCATCCTGGCAATGATTGTAACCTCTGCCCAAAACTCAGCATCCCCTCCAGTGACATGTTTCAGGCACTTGACTGCAACAATTCGCTTATCAGGTAGCTCTCCTCTATAAACATCACCAAACCCACCTTTTCCTATAGCATTGGAGAAGTCATTTGTTGCTGCTTTGAGCTCTCCATATGTGAACCTTTTAGGTCCACCAGCAGGCAGGAATTCAAGGCCCAAAGTCTGAGCCATGTCTCTATACTTGATGTATTTCTTCAAAAAAGCCCAAAAGAAAAGAATCCCAGCAATCAGCTCCGCAGCAAATAACGTACTTATTATTGCAATATTTCTAGCTGTGGCATTGGATTCTTCAGGAGGGAAAGGAAGGCTTATACGAACAGGACATGTGGTGTCCAATACACGAGTCATACCAGTGAAATTTGATTCATCTGTTTCAGAACTATCCACTCGCAAGAACATGGCAACTTCAGTCCCTGGAGACCAGTACCCATATAATAGTCTGTCAAGCTGAAGCACACAGTAACCTTGGCCATCATACTTAAACATAAAACCAAGACAACTAGGATGAGCCAAGCAGTTTGCTCTACAAGTTGTTAGATTTCTGACATTTAGACTTGTCTGATTTGATCCACCAGTGAAATTGACATAATCAAGCTGAAGAAACTTGGTGTTGCTGGTGAGCTTAATTTTCCTTTCACATGCATCTGGACTTGTAGAACTTCGCCTGAATCCAGGAGGGCACACGCAGGACATGGAATTTGAGCCATCAATCATGCAGATAGCATTACGCCCACATACCCCGTGAACTTTGCACGATTCTTGTAGTGCTTGCCAAGCAATAAACCATTGGCCAAGGCTTTCATCATAACTGTAAACCCTTAAATTTCCATCATTGTCAAGAGTCAACCTCCGCATCCTGGAAACCCCATAATCAGCAGAAATGATTGAAACATCATTTCCCTGATTCACACTCCCATCGCTATTTAGTTGTTTAAAAACATTATTGGAGGTGGTCCAGTAATTATCAGAATAATTGAAAGACAAAAACGAAGAATTCAAGAACCTGAACTTACCATTTTGTGAGACAAGTTCAGTACCATTTATAGCCTGGGTAGGCAAGTAAGTATCAGTAGGGAAATGAAAACTCTCCCACTTGTCATAAACAAGATTCCCGTCTTCGTTTAAAACAAGTCTAGTTGAGTTAGAATTTGTTGCAGTAGGGGCACCAGGCCACAAGTTTGATCTGCTTGAAGAATCGGTCAAACGTAGCTCGCGAGTGGTAGTGATGACAAGAGAAGCATTGGTGGAGAATGGAGAATCGTACTTATTAGCAGACCACACAATGGTAGTGATGTTTCTTGGCAATTTGTAATACCAAATTGAGAAGTTGAACTGTTTTGGAGAATTGGGTAGTGGGTAAAAACCGGCTGCAAAGGTGGAGTTGCGAGAGAGGAGGATTATGTTTTGGCTTGGAAGCCATGGAGAGTCTGAGGAGGAGAAAGACGAGATATTTAGTTGTCGTTGGGATGTTGATGCTGAAGGATTTGATAGCAGAAAGATAGCAAAGAAGAGAAAGATGGGAGACATTTTTTTTTTTTTTTTGGTTTAGTGACAGCCGTGTGAGCAGGCAGCGGCAAGGAAGGTATTTTAACAGCCGCCCTCATGGACTGACTTCCTGCGTTGACGCCATGACCAATCGACTTGCAATGGCTTGTATTGTGGGTGTTTTTCCTTTTCTAATTCTTGGATTTTAGCAACAGTTTGCGTAGCATTTGATTGGCATTTGAAGAATTCTGTTGTCGCTATTGAAAGAGAAATAAAAAACAAAAAGAAAAGCCAAGTGGGGACAGATATGACTCCCATTTAATGTTTAGAGCTGATGGTAACAAAAAGTAAAAAATTGTTTGTTAGGTGACATGATCTGATTTTCGAACCAGAAATTTGTTCATTCAAACCAGGAAGAACATCTATAAAGGCCACCAATTTGTTTATTGAAAAATAAAGATGCTAGGTTCAAATATCACCACTAATTTTACCACTAATATGTTATCCCTACCTCCTATGTGTAACTAATATATATATATATATATATTGTTGTATGTGACTCATGAAATAAAACACTGCGAAATTGCAAATGAATAATTTTAAAAGATAGGAGGTACAATTTCAAATCCCAGAACCTTTAATTTTTCCCCCTTTAAAAATCTTGTCGACACTCCACCCGACTAGTCCGTCGATTTGGGTTATCATGTTTAATAAGGTATGACTAATTTTAATAGATCCCTTATAAGTTGGTGTTTGAAATGGTCCGTCAATTTGGGTTATCATGTTTAACAAGGCATGACTAATTTTAATAGATCCCTTATAAGTTGGTGTTTGAAATGAATTTGGCCCAATTGAATTGTCTGATCATCCAGTTTTCGTACAATTTGATATCGATTTAATAACAATGATATATATATATATACACATACGGATGATTATTTAATTTTTTAATTTTATTTATATTGATCGAATTAACTAAAACAATAATCGACTGAATCATGGTTCAATTTTTTGACTAAAAATATAATTTTTCAATTTGATTTTTTTAATTAAAAATTGAATTTTTTTATATATTTTTTATTTTGAATTTTTTCTTTGACCAAGCTAAAAGGTCTTTTTTTTATATATAATTTTTATTTCTATTTTTAAGAAATGTTAATAACTTGAATTGAAATTTTAATAAAAAAATCATAGGAAAATGTTATGAGTTTTGAGTGTGTATATTAAAAAAAATATTAATTTAACTTCTAATAAAAATTAATATTTTTTTAAAAATAACTAAACAAAATTAAAATTGTTATTTTAATTCGATTCGATTCGAATTTTTAATTTTAATGGAATAGTACTCATTATTCAAACTAGTAATCTAGTAATCCAATCCTTGAACGAATAAGTGTTGGGAATGGATTTAATAATATTGATTTATAACCAATTTGTACGTAAAAAAGAAAATCAATAATGTGATTAGGACTAGCGGTTTGCTTGTATAAGCTGACTAAAGAATTGGCTAATAACTTCGTACCGACCAATTAAACTATCTCCATAATTCAAACAGAGACTTTTTTAAGCGTCCATGGAAGAGAGACCAGATAGATAAACCATGGGCGGCGTCTCCTGTGACAACCAAAACTAGCCCCACTCAACAGGCGGCTTTAGTTTTATATATTCCTCTTCCTTGTCTATGAGAGAAATTAGTTTTTTATTTACTCCTATTATTTTTTAATTACATGAGGGGACATTGGCCAGTAACTATTGTCGAGAGTTTTTCACCATTTGAATTTCTAGATGGGAGAGGCTAAGATTTCATCTTGAATGACCATAAGAATTTGACCGTTTCCTTTGGTGTTGCTAATTTTTAATATATATATATATATATATATATATATATATATTAGTTTGTTTTTATCCACACTATATATTGTGAATCGGATAAAACATACAAAATTATTTTAATTTAATATTTTATGTTATATTGTATATATACTAAAATATATCAAATCAAAATTAAACAAAAATTTATTCGATTTTATTATTTTTAATCAAAGTTTTGTATTGGACTGATTTTTTTTACATTTTTCATAAATTTTTTATTAAAAATATTATTTATTTATCTCTATCGACAAACTAAAAAATTTATAATAGTATAAAAAAATCAATGGATTATTAACTAAAAACTTATTTTGTAAATGATTGTTTTTAAATATTTTTTGCTTTAAAATTTTTTTACTAAAAAAATCAAAGGAAAAAAAAAACCAAAGTGACAAAAATGAAACAAAAAGAAGAGATCAAAATCAAACAAAAAATATTTACGGACTAAAAAATAATATTTTTTAGTGTAATTTACAAAAATTTTCATAATAAATATCTTTAAAATGTTTTAAAATTATAAAAATGTCACCACGTAGTGAAAGGAACGACGTGTCTATAAATAGTGCAAATAAATCCAAATGATCAATATTTCAAATAATAAAATGAATAATAGCTATATCTTTTATTATATATATATATTTATTTATTGTTAGAAAACTTATTAAGGTTAGCTATACAAATAGAATATACACCTCCCTCTCTCTCTTTTTCATTCTTTGATTTCAATTCATTTACAATAATATCATGTGACTTTACTGATAGTAAAAAGAATTAGACCTAGCTTCAATTAAAAATAACTATAGTAAGTACTATGCCTAAACAAATTGCTATTCATGATATTTGAATTGGAAGAGGGTCATAACTACTCTAAGGTTTTATTTTCCTTTTCATGAAAACGCATTGAAATATTAAAAGAAGAAAGAAGAAAATCAAACATCAAACATTGAAGTAGATTGGAAAGACATTAGGTGTGACCGATTGATCTGAAGAACATTGGTGCACTAGCTAGTCACCATGTTGGGTGATACTAACGGCAAAGAATTTCTTGTACAAAATTGAAATTAATCTTTTTGATGCATTATTTCAGGCTAAGACATTAATTTTGATAATTCACCGTCAAGTCTCAACCTGATTGAATCACAACTAAAAATATAGAAACATTTATTTGAAAATGATACCAGAATATATAGAGCTATCAATATTTTACCACTTCCATGACTATATGAACTGAGGATAAATTATTTAATAATATTATTGATTTTGCTATAAATGTAACGATAAGCATTACTTTAAAGGTGTATGATCGATACTCTTTTATTACAAATGTTTTTAAAGTTAAAAATTAAAACTCTGGTTTATGGCTTAATTAACTACATGACTTGCACATAATTGTATTCTATTTTTAAATGTCTTTACAAACCAGATAAATTAAAAGTTTTCATGTATAAATTACATAATTAATTCTAATAATTTATCTTAACAAAAACTTAATTGATATAAGAATTGATTAGACATTTAACGTATATTTAAAAATAATATTGGCTCAGTTGGATATTTAAGAGCATATTAAATAATTATATTATTATATAAGAACAAATTGAAATATTAATCCATAAAACTATACAATTATGTGGTGTAATTATGTAGTGGCCATGGAGATTTCCTAAATGTACTAGGTTAATATGGTTAATAAGGAAATGTATCAAAATTACTTAAGAAGTAGCTTCATATCAATTATTACGTAAGATTACTTGAAAAATCCCTAACTATCCATCCAAATAATAATAATAATTTATTTTTCAAACTAAAAATGGATTGACAAAATTAAATTCTAATAAAAGCTATGGTTTTGTTTTGTAGGAATACCATTCAACTACGAGTTCATGACACCTGAAAGTTTGATGTTGTGATTATGCCTATTGTGTCTTTCTCTAATGAAAAAAAAGATTTGAGTACCAATAACTCTTCCTAAGTCAATATGAAGGCGAATTATCCTTGATCCTGCAGCTTAAAGTTCATTGAACTTTCCAATATATTAAAAAAAAACAAAAACATATTATGTTCATTTCAATATTTTCTCATGTAGCATTAAATATGAGTTGTTGGTAGACTTAAAAAGTTGGATTCTTAAAATCGATTCAAAGTTAGTCACAATGCACAATCTCTTGTTGATTATATCTAATAAATTATTGATTTAATTTTGATTAATGTGAAAATTGGTTTAAAAATATTCAATTAACTATTTATATATATTTTTAAAAAAAATTTCCCATAAATTTATATTATTGATTAAATGTGTATTGCGTATCACATTATAATGCATAACACATTTCATTATGATTAACTCTATTTATATTATACAAAACAGTATAGTGGTGACAAGATTTTGGATTTACTGTTTCAGAAAAAAAATCTATTATTAATAGCATCGAATTTGAGGTGTTGTTTGGTATAAAGTTAAAAAGGTAGGATGAATGATTACATGAATAATTATTACAAGAATAATTTTTAAAGGTGTAAAAGTGGATTTTTAAGGATGTTTGATGTACGCATGAATTGAAGGGTTAAATGTTAGGGGAAAATAATCAAATTATTAATAACAATTGATGAGAAACAATTAAAAAAATAATTTAGTTTGTATTTTGAATATATATAAAAAAAAGAGACAAACAAAATAATATTGTTTTGAGGGTAATACGTACCCTCCAAAAACACCGTTTGGAAAGTATTTAATACTCCTCTTGATAATTGCAAATTTTCTATTTTTTTTTGTTAGATGGAATTTTTTTTAAAATTATTCTATCATTTCAAAACTCGGTAAAAAAAAATTTTAAAAAATAAATTTAAAACACTGGACTAAAGTTAGTTAATTTTAGACATTAAAATAAAAAAAAAATGTCAGATTTTTTATTAAATACTTCATAACAGGTGCAACGTGATTTCGGCGAGGTTTTTTGGTCTCGATTGTAGATGCTTGCCACAGTAACTTGTTTGATTATTGTTCTTGTGTGCAGGAGCCGATTTAGAAGGACAATAAGCATCTCAACCAACAAAATGTCTTACACAGTCAATCATTTTATGATCTCGATTTTTCTCCCATCCATGCTACTCAATCACTTAGGCTGGCTAAGATGTTGTCACCCCACGTTACTCTAAATTTTAGCATTAAAAAG